GGAGAGGGGATGGTTGTTTATACCCTTCTCAGAGGCAACAAGAGTAAAAACCATATGGGGACAGACTACCAAGTTTTTGCTATCTCTTGTGTCTCCTCCCCAAACCAGGGCCCCACATTCCATTTGAATGGGCAGCTTGCTCCCTCTTCTGTCAGTGTCTATGTCCTTTCTTCTGGGGTTGCCCATAAGGTATAGTCCCTTCTCCCTATTCCTGCCTCCCCTCTTCTTCCTGCATTGCACAGCCTACCCAGTTTCCATGGAAACAGCTGGGAAGGCTCTGCCAGGAGGCCAAGGCCACTACTGCTCTTGGAGGGGGCTAGGAATAGAAAGTAGGGAGCAGGAGGTGAGTTTTAGAGAGTGGGGGAGATGGGGTGAGATTAATATTGTCATTGCTGACGGGCAGCAGAAACAGAGAACAGAGATTGATTGAATGATGTGACTGAGGCTCCGACAGTGATGCTGGGAGGCTCCTTCTGGTTACCCAAATTTCTATTCTCAATTTCTACAGATTCCTCCTTGGAGGTGATGAAAGGAAGATAGGTAGCATTGCAGAGCTCTGCCCCTTCCTACCTCATATGAGGGCCTCTCCTTTTACCTCACTTGAGGCCCCAGAAGACTAGAAGGCATTGATACTAGGAAATAGGAGAGGAAGTGGAGGGTGTTAGTGTTCAGGGCTGTTTGGAAAACTCCTCTGGCAAATAGAGAGAGTGAAAGGAGGCCAGGAGGATCAGGAACTTTTGTGGAGACCCTTCCCTAGCTCCTCAACAGAAGAGTTGGGGATAAGCCTGGAGGCTGGCAGCTTGCTCCTCTCTATCTATCTCATCAGGATGTTAGGGTATGAAAAGAGGAAAGTGGAGGTGGCCAAGTGGGAGTGAGAGCAGAGATGGGAGAGAACGCCTAAGGCAGAAAAGTTAGATGGATGAGTGCAGATGCATATGTCTGGGGAAGGTGTGGAGTTCCTCAGAAGTTTCATATATATGCTCCTAGGATATACTCCAGCCCTCTCCCACCACAGGCTAAGAAGCCTCCTGGGCAGAGACCATTGGAAATCTTGGAACCCTAAGAGAGCATGTGGGGGTGCCTGGGGAAGGGGCCTTCTTGGCTATCAGAACATTCAGCCAAGCCTCCATGGGGTAGATGGAAGAGCAAAACAGGTCCCCTAGGAGCTGAGGGTTTCCTGGACCGGAGCCACTGGCTCTCCCTTGGCCATAGCCCCCAGCACAGCCATGTTGGTGTTTGCTTATTTTGGTTATTTTTTGATCAGATATTTTGGCTCTGTGCACACACACTGCCTCCTGTTGCCATGGCAGCCGTGACAGGGGCTGAGGCACCGTGAGAAAAATACCAAAATTAATGAGTGAGCGAAAGTGCAGCCGAGAGAAAAACAAGGTTAAAAAAAGAGTTAAAACAGTAATGAAAACAGGCTTCCCAGCTCCACAGCAGAGCAGCTGCTGAGGCCTCCCCAGAGCAGCAGCCCCCGCCCAGTCTAGGGCTCCTGGCATCTCCCAGGCCTCAAGGCAGGACTCACACCCCATCCCCCACTCAGTCAGCCACAGACCCAGCACAGGGACAGACCCAAGCACAACAGTAGATTGGCTCCAACAGCAGATCAGTTCCCTTCTCAGGTAGCATCCAATCTCCCAGACAAGCATCCTAAGGAACAGCTACTCATCTCCTAGGCAACCGAGTCTTAGTTATAGCCCTCATATAGCAGTGGTCCAGCTATGTTATCAGGAAATGGCCTCTCAGCTACGAGTTCCAGAGCCATAGCTGTAGGCTTTGCAGCAGCCCAGCTAGAGTCCTGCATACACTAACAGCTCAGCCACAATCCTGGGCAACAGCATCTTAGCTATAGCCAATCCCCAGTATGCTGTCATCACAGCTATAGCTTCAGGACCAATAGCATACCAGCTACAGTCTTATACACAACAGTAGCTCTTCTCTTATTCCAGGTAACCTGCTGCCTCCCAGGTACAGGCACCTAGCAACAACCTCTCATCTAGGAATGAAGCAATGGATTAAGCTACAGCCGCCCCTACATCATATCAACAGGGAACAGCTTTCTCAGCTTTAGCCAGTCTCAGGTGTGCCAGGTTCACATCTCTTGTTTCAGGAGCAAGTAAGTAAGCTTCAGATATATCAGTTGGCTGTCCTCCTCCCTGTGAACACACACACACACAAAGATAGACAGAGAGAGAGAGTGCGCTTGGCAATAGCATAACAGTATTACAACAGTATCTCAGCTACAATCAGAAGCAACAGCCCTTCTATTATACTTCCAGACTACAACATCCTAGTACTCTTAGGAACAGCCCATCCTAGGCACACACATATCAGAGTAAGAGCCTAGGCCCATAAGCCTCTCAACCATTCCCATATATAACATCACACAGTCTCCCCAATCTCTTACCCCTGGCCTCAGTCTCAGCTGGAATTTCAGACATCACCAGTTTCTCTCCCCAATGCTTCACTTGCCAACTAGGACTGCCTTCCAGTTTGATATAGGGTCAAGAACCTGACTTCTCTTTCTCAGAGGTCACCTCCCTTGCTTTCCAACTATCCTCCTCCCAGTTCTCACCCTCCCTCCATGGAAAGCCAGACCCCAACCCCCATACCTACATTGCCCCAGGCTCAAGTCACCCACAGAACCCAGCTTGACAGCCAGACTGGGAAGGGATGGGGTGCAAGGAGAAGAAAGGTGGGCACATTCTGGTGTTGCCCTTGCCTGCTTCTGCTCCTAGCACTTAGTGCAAGATTTGGGCTTGATGGTGCTGAAGCAGGGAGGACGAAGGAGAACATCTGGGAGATTAGCATTTCCTGCCCAGCTCTGCGGCTGCCTATCCCTCTCAGCCCTGAGCAAGTGAGGAGAACAGAGGAGTCTTTGAATGGCTCTGAGCAGGCAGACCCGAGAGTGTTTTGCTGTGAGAAGCAGGCACACGCTGGGGGCAGGGAGGCTGGGGTAGCTCCTCTTCGAAAGATTTCTTTTCTCTCAGCCATTGACTCCCTTTCTTCTTGGAGCATGGGTTTCGGTTTTGGAGGGGACAGAGAGGTCATTTGCAAGACAAACCTTCCCTTTAGCTCATCTTCTTTCCCATTCAGAATTCCCTACGATATTCCTGGGCTGAGGATTAGGGTGGGGGTTAGGCAAGCTCCAGGTCAGAAAAATACAGTTGTAGTTTTTTCTGGAATAGTCTTTGTTTGCCCTTCCTAGCTGGTGTCCTCCCAAAAAGGTCAGGCATGAGCAAAGGAGGAAGTAGAGGAAAGACACCAAGAGACGGGAGCAACAAGTAATCAATTCAGGGTGACAGGTAAAATTCAGTCATTTCCCCCAAAACGCCTTTGGGTAAACTCAGACCTCTTTCAGTTAGTAGTTGAGCACATACATTAAACGTTTACACCACCAAGGCAGGGAGTCCAGAGGAAAAAAAGTGACACTCAACTCATTACTTTGGAGTCGGAACCAACTCATAACTGACCCTCCAACAGGTTTTCAGAGACTATAAAGCCCATGGGAGGAAAGTGCCCAATTTTCTCCTATGGAGAGACCAGTGGATCTAAACTCCCAAAAGGTACTAGCAGCAAACTCCCTACCAGCCACACCATCTGAAAAGTCAAAGTCTACCCAAACAGAGACCCAGCAGCCTGTTGTCCCATAATGAGGCTCTTGCCACACTCAGCACCTTGCCCTGCTGGGGACATCCGCCCTCATTTTCTTACTTAAGAACACCTTGCCTGTGTCCCATAGGTAGCAGAAAGCTGGATAGAGGTCATATAGAACTGGGACACTTCTTGTTATGCACCTTCGAGCTTCAAACTGATCTATAGCAGGTCCTCCAGCGGGTTTTCATAGGCGGTAAATCTAGAGGAGATTGCTCATCCTTCTACCGAGGAACAGCTGGTGGATTCGAACTCCATGCCTTTGAGATTACACCGTGAGATTACACCTTGCCTGTGTCCCATGCTGGCAGAAAGCTGGAGGTCATATAGAACTGGGACACTTAGGCGCTTGTAAACACTGCAAGAAGGGAGTTCCCAAGCTGCTTAGATACCTCTAGATGGCGCTAGAGAGCCGAAGCTGAGTGGGAGAAAGTGAGTAGTGAAGTGTGTGACACTGCGTGTGACAGTGTGTGCGAATCCGTGTGAGTGTGACAGCGTGTGGCACTGAGAGGGTGTGTGACACGGGTTGTGACACTGTGCAGTCTCGAAAGGCAAGGACCTGTATGACTGTGTCTGTATGTGGCTGGTAACTGTGTTTAACCATAGGTCAGCTTTACCCTAGAGGCAGGTGACTGGGAGACCCTTCCGTAGACCAAGTCCAAGAGCATCACCTCATGCTCACATTCGTATATCTCCCCGGTCTTCGTTCTAAGGAAATCCTGGGCCCGTAACGCTTCTCCACGGTCCCCTCCATAGCCCCACCCCCACAGTTTGCTGCGGCCACCGAGGTTGACCGCTCTGCGGCTTTGGCCAGAGGGGGAGGGGAGGACTTCCCCAGAGCGCAGTGGGAAAGGGAGGGCCACTCTGAGTGATCTGGGGGTTCAGGGCAGGAAAAAGGAGGAGTAGGTGCTGGAGGATGAGGTGCCAGGGGAAGAAGACTCAGGTGGAGATGACTTTCCCTTTCTCGACTTTCCAGAGGGCAGAGTGAGGGACAGGTGTTCGAATGGGATGAGGGGTAGTTGGGGAGTGGTCCCTGATAGAGACTCAGGTGAATATAAGCGTAAGGTGGAGAGTCAAGGATAGGAGGCAGAGCGACCTGTGTCTCCCGACCGTGGGCAGTGGAGAGATGGCACAAAGGGGTCTCGGTACTGCAGAAAGGTGCTGGGGTCCCCTCCTAGCGGGACCGACCAGTGCCGGAGCTCCACCTCCTGGCCGGGGGGCGGTGCGGGGAGGCGGGCGGGAGGCGGGCGAGCGGTCCGGGAGGGAGGGGGAGGGAGGGGGCGGGCCGGGCTGTGCGCTCCGCTTGCTGCTGGCTCTGCCGCCGCCGCCGCCGCCGCCGCCTCACACACTCCGGGAGCGGGAGCGCGGCGCGGACGCGAAGCCGCCGGGGCTGGTGCGCCCAAAGCTAGCCGGAGCCGGAGCCCGGACTGCAGCCTGCTGAGCCGTACAGAGCCGCAGCCCAGGCCCGGGCCGGCAGCGGCTCATGGACAGCAGGGCCGGCGGCCGGCGCTGCCCAGAGGCGGGTAAGGATCCGGCGGCGGTGGCAGTGGTGGCTCTCAGCCGGGAGCAGCCATGGCCGGCGGGAGCTGAGGGAGGGGCGCGCAGCGAAGCGAGGCCGCGGGGACCCTGTCCAGGCTCGACGCGGTAGGGAGGGGGACGGCGGGGAGCACCAAGTGGGGGCCTGCGGCCGGGACACCCCGGTCTCCAAGGTCCTTAGTGAGGAGCTAAACGAGGGAAGGGGTGCAGAGCCGGACCTCCAGCCTCTGCGCCCCGCATCCGGGCGCGTTTCAAACCGTGAGGATTAGGAGACTCCAAGAGTGCGCCGGATGGAGGATGGTTTGGGGAATGCGCGGCCCCCACATGGAGGAGGGGGAGCTCCCCTAGGACGTCGCAGGCAAGGACCCTCATTTACAACACACACTTGTTGGGCGACCAGCTCGGCTCACTCAAGCGCGTCCAGCTCCCCGCCAGTCCCCAGAGGGCTAGATTCGGACGTGTATACATTCATACATACACGCATCCATACATCCGTGCATATGTGTACACAGACATACCTCCAGCACACCAGCGCCCACTGGGGCTCTGTCACCAGCTCGGAATCGGCTTCAGCGTCTGCACGCACAGCAGGACCCATAGCCAGAGAGACCACAGAACACAGCCGGGTGTGACACTCAGCGGCATGGGCACAAACACAACCCCATGCCCTCCTGGGCCAGTGCCACAGCCACAACTCGCCAGATGAACACTCCCAGCCCAGGCACATTCCTTTCAGGAACACACTTATATATAAATTATGTTACCCACTCCTTAGGGGACATAGGTACACAACACAACACTGTCGCTGACAGCCCTCACAGCACCCACACAAACACAACCCAGCGTCTCAGCGCACGCCTTTATGGCACACACACACCCTAACACGGTAAATGGCACCTACAGCAGCGCCTCACGATCCCAAACACAGACCTACTGCTTCACACATCCTGGCACTGGGTGTCACCTACACCTTACACCAACAGTGTCACATTACATCCTGCAGCGCGCATACCCACAAACACACACCCTGCCCCCTCAAAGGCCAGATTCCTTCAGGCCTAGCTTCCCTGGGAGCAGGCTGTGCTGGCTTTTCGTGCACCCAGCACCCTCCACCTTAATCGCGACATTGTTATTGTGAATACCGGCCCTCGGAGAGCTCCAGGGGCGGGCGGGACTCGCTGGCCTGCCGGCGCCGCCCCCACCCCCACTCCGGGCTCTGCCCGCGGCTGCGGCCCGGCTTTCCCGGAACGAACTGAACCTGGCAGGCCCCGCCGTCCTGCCTCCCGGGACTCCGGGGCCCCAAGGCCTTTTGCAGAGGGTCCAGACCGGTGGCGCTGCCTGGGACCCCTACAGACTACACAGCTGCATCCACAGAACCATCTGGGGCCCCGACACACCTGGGGCCCGCACACCTGTGCCTTTTCTCACACCTGGGCGGGCTCTGCCGCGTCCCCGCGGCAGACCCGAGTGGAGAGTGCGGAGAAGCCCGCCGAACCGGACCCGAGCAGTCTCTCAGACGAAATGGAGTCGCACCCCTTCCTCGCCCTCCCTCTCAAGCTGTCTCTCCGTAGCTTTTATTCCTGGCCTCAGTTTCCCTAGCAGTGGTTGGAGACTGTGGGTCCTTCTAGAGGAAATATTGAGATCGTCGCCGAGACCCCTAGAACCGGGTGCGGCGACCTAATCCTCGCTTCCCCGCCGCAGGAGGGTCCGTTGTAAGAGAAAGTCCCCGCCGGGCGCGGCTGGCCGCTTTGTGATTCCGGCGCCGGCCCCCTCCCCGCGCTCTCCCGGCGCCGGGGCTCCGCAGACGCCGGTGGCGGGGACCCTGGGCTGAGGCCGGAGGCACAGGGGAGCAGGGATTCCCCGCGGCGGCCCTGGGGTTGAGGACGCGCGCAGCCGGTGGCCGAGGCGTCCTCGTTGGGCTCCGGAGGCCCGGCGCCGCCGGCGTGGGGGTGGGGCGGTCCGGTGAGCAGTGGCCGGCTCCCGCCCCCCACACCCCGCGTCCTCAGGGGAGGGGGCACGCCTCGTGTGCTGGGTGTGTGAGGGGGCCGCCCACGACCACGGCGGTGCTGGCTGAGCCACGCCGGGAAACACAGGTTGGTTTCCAGCACCTGCTTTGGGCCAACTCTTGGAGGAACCTGGGAAGGGCGCGCTCAGCGGTGTTTGTAACGACCTGGAGGTGTGGGATGTGTGGGAGTGTGTGAAGGGGGAGGTGTGTGTAGGGGTGGGTGGGCGGTATTGTTTCCTTGATGTGAGGGGATCTGGAAGGATTGAAACTTCTACTAAACCGAGGCATAGGGAGTAATCAAGGGATCAGGGGGCTTTCAGAAGGGGCCTCTGGAGATGACCAGAGTCCGGGTTCAGCTTCAGCAGTAGTTAGCTTTCCTCTTCCTGACCCCTGGACTGAGGCGTCTTACTGACTCAGTGCCCTCCTGGCAGAAGGGCTGCTGCTGTGGCTGATGAGCTGGGCTGGAGATGGTGAGCTAACTGCTGGAAAGTAGGTGGAAGGGCCAGGCTAGGGCCTGGAAGGAGAGGAGGACCTGAGGGAGCCCTGAACAATGGTGAAGACTGGAAGAGTAAGGAAGTGGGAAAGAAGGCTCTTCACGTCAAGGAGAGGGGGCTGCCCCTGCCTGGAGCACAGATAGTGGATGCTGCATAGAGATTAACCCCACCTTGTGCTGAGAGGGAGTTCTGTGATTTAGCGGTAAGGAATCAAAAGGTTGCAATCCACCAGCTGCTCCTCAGGAAAGACAGTCTCCTCCCTTGCGATTTACTGCTTTTGAAAACCTGCTGGAGAGTCAACTACAGGTGGGTTCCAACTTGACAGTACACAACAATGACATTTTGAGAACTTACTACTGTCTCCCAGGGCCTAGGGTGAGTGGTGTGAGGACAGAGTAATAAGAAACGCACCATCTTTACCTTCAGAGAGCTTCCTGTGGACAGTTCATTTATTAATTCTTGATCCAGTGAACATCTACTATGTTATGTGCCTGGTGGTGGAATAAAACACCTCAATCAGTAATTGGAAATGTATATGTATGTTGTGGTGGTTGTGATGGTGGTGGTGGTGGTGGTGGTGGTGGTTGTTATGTACCATCAGAGCCACTAGAGGATAAATCTCATGAGAGGATATTGCCCATCCATCTCCGCTGGTGGGTTCAAACTGTGAGCCTTTGGGATTGTAAGGCAGCTTCTTACAACTAGGCCACCAGAGTTTCCTATATATGTATGTGTATTTGTGTGTGTTACAATATAAAAGACTTTAGATACATTGACTCTCATTTCCTCCATTGGAGGGGGGGGAAGCCCCCCCAAAAAAAGTCAAGGGACAGGCTTTACTATATTTACATTCCACATTGTGGAAACAGATGCAGAAAGGTGAAGTCAGTTGGCCAGGGTCACAGAGCTAGGAAGTAGTGGAGCAAGGGTTCAAACCCTGGCAGTCTGACTAAAGAATGCAGGTGCCTGGGAGCCCTGCCGAGGCTAATAAAGGGTTGAGGAAGAGGAGGGTGAGGAGTTGAAGGCTGCACTTAACTCGCTGCAGGAGGCTTCTGAACAGCTCCACCCCATGCAGCCCGCTTGCTTATCCTTCCTCATTTCCCAGACATTCCCTTTGTCCCTCGGTGTTTTGTGCCAGCAGTGACAGTTGTGTAACAACGCGGGGGTGGGGGGCCTCAGCTGACCTGGTCACTTGGACAGTGCTGGCCGCCTCTGTGTGTTCTCTGGCCGGGGCATTGAGCAGCAGGTGAATCCTGCTTTCCGAGGTAGGCTGGAAATGAAAGCTTTCTATGAGCTTTCATAGGTCCTTGTGCCTTCCTAGCAGCTGACCTAGATGGGGTTTCTCCCCACCAGAGGGAACTCTGCCCCTCACACTTCACCCCCACAGCCCTCTTGGCTCGGCCTCTAGTCTTCAGGCCCAGGGGGAGGTGGGTCCCTGTCCCTACTAAGACCCTAGTTTCTCAGGCACTTGGGCAGTCAGCAGGCAGAGGCACCTTTAACAAGAAGGCAGCCAGAAATGGGGAAGGCAGATAAGGTACTAATCACTTCAAAGGCGACCAGCTAGGACTGACGACTTCCAATAACCAACTGCCTGGGACAAAGTCCAAGAGATGGTGGGGGCAGGGATGAGGTACTTCACCACCTCTGCCACTCCCTGTCACCCTGACTCATATCTCTGCACCTGTGGTGAGCCTCAGGTCCTGGTCCCTGAACCCTGGGCCTTCTCCTCCCCTTTTCCTCCTTAACCTGACAGGGTGGCAAGCCTACGATGGTATCAGGAAGCAGGGCTCAGCAAACAGGATGCTTTCTGTTGTTTCCCCACCCCACATGCCACCAGACTCTGGGATGCAAAAGAGACGTTCTTATGTCTCAAATCTTATCTATTACGTTACTGCTTCTATTTATTCTTTCTGGACCTCAGTTTTGTCATCAGCAATAAGGAGACAGGCAAAATAAATAATACCCTTTCCAGAAGGTTAGGGAAGATTCAATGAGATAATGTATGTGGAATGCCTAGCCACACATGAGTAAAATGTTGGTGTTAGGTGACTGGTGATGAAAATGGTAATGACAGCAGAGTTTGCAGAACCTCATGGGAGCTTGAGCATGACAGAGATGGGACAGCCAGCACAGGATAGGGTCAGATGTTCGTGTGCTGTTTATAGGATTCCCTGATGATCCCAGACCACCTACATCACAGTTGTCTGAGATGTTTGGTCCCTGAATCAAAATTCCTAAGGATGGGGTGGGGGAAAAGAATCTTTATTTTAAAGGAGTTCTCCAGGTACTATAGAACCGAATCCTGCTTCAATGCTTCCTTCACCTCTGGGCACTCCTCATCCCACTTGATCCTAATTTTTCCACCTCTCAGTACACTCCACACACACACTTTGCTTTCCAACTGTAAATTAGATATTACAATTCCTCCCTGACTCTTGCTGAGGGATTTTTCCTAAGGGGGTGGGGCAGGGGAGAGAGAGAGAGAAGGTAATGTGGGTTGGATTGAGGTGGAAGGTTCTCAAGAAGCTGTGAAGAACTTGGGCCACTAGGCTGTGACCCTGAGGTGGAAGCTTAATCTTGAGTTGTCACACATTGCAGTCACCCTGACTCCACCAAACTAACATTTGAGTCATCATTTTTCTTGGAAAATTTTGCTCCATGTTTTCCTAAAATTCTTGAAGGGGCTATTGTTGTTGTAATTAGATGCCATCCAGTCAAGTAGTACTCAGCTACCCTATCAACAGCAGATCTGAACCCTGTCCTTTCCTGTGCCACCCTCCTAATTTCTGACGTACTTGAGCTTATTGCTACATTCACTATGTTGTTGTGTTGAGTACGTCAAGTCAGAACTGACCCATAGCTAACCCTCGCATGGATTTTCAGAGGCAGTAAATAGAATGGGAGGGGATTGCCTAGCTGCCATCAAATCCATTCTCATAGTGACCCTGTGTATGACATAATGAAATACTGCCTGTACCCATCTCATCCTCACGATTGCTGATGTGCTTAAGCCTATTGTTGTAGCCACTGTGTCAGCCCATCTAGCCAAGGACCTTCCTCTTTTTCACTAACCCTCTATTTTACCAAGCACAATGTTCTTCTTCAGGGATGGAGAAAGGGAGATGTGATGGAAAATCCCTGAACTGGAGAGAGTGCAGAGAGGCAAGCAGTGTGTCTGTCTGTCTCTCTCTCTCTCTCTCTCTCTCTCTCTCACACACACACACATACACACACACACCCACCCCATTTCTTCTCTTTCCCAGGTTTAGAGTAATTCCTATGGACTTCTCACTTAACTCTTGACTTGCTCCCTGAATTGGTGAGCACGACAATCCATTGGGTGAAAAGGACAAGGGTAGCAAGATACAGTTAGTTCCTTCAAAGGAAAGAGGTTCTTTGGCGACTGTTCTGGGGTTAGGATGGGAGTATTTGGTTTGAGGCTTGAATTGTTAGGAAGATTCCTTATGCAGGCCCTAGCAGGTAGCGGGAAGTGGTTGGAGAGTAGATACAAAGGGCATCAGATAAATTCATCCTACCTTTAAAGAGATTAAGATTGCCAGCAGGAACAAACATACATACTAATCTGATAAGAGACTAAACACACAAAAAAGTACTTTAGTGGTGAGGTGGAAGTGGGAGGAGACTGTGTTGGGACCTGGTGTAAGGACAGTAAGTAAGAGAGGAAGGGTGTTTGGAGGGGGAGAAATATAACTTAAATCTACTGTTATCCAATGAGTGTTTGCAAATAGTCTACGCCATATCCAAAAGGAAGAAGAAGGCTTACACTGAGCCCTCAGCAGGAAAGGGGAATCATACAAAAGAACATAAGTGACCACAAAATATGTGCTAGATAGGAGACACATGTTCTGAAATCATATTCAGTGCTACTGTGCCAGGCCCCGTGCTCTGTCCGGAGGATGCAGGAATCAGCAGCTCCAGGGGAGTTGTGCTGCAAATCCAAAGGCAGCAGTTCTCCGGTGGTTCAAATCCGGATGCCTGTGGCTCTGAGGAAACAAAATGAGCAGTCTCCTCTCATTTGACTTACACCCTCGAAAACCCACTGGAGGAGTCAGCTAGGAGTCGGGGTTCAGACTGTACAGCACTGAGTTGAGACGTTATTAGGTTCTGCGAACGCAGGAGTTAATGAGGCCTAAGCTGCCCTGCTCTCCTGCTCATAGTCCTGCAGGAAAGGGAGACAATTAACAAATTATTTCCAAATAGCTACCTAATTACAACTGTGCTAACTACTTTGAAAAGGCATCATTTATTGGGTACCCACAGTGTGGGCATGTAACCCACATAAACAAAACTCACTAAAAAATAAGTAGTATTATCCCGTTTTACAGATGAAGAAAGTGAGGTTCCAAATCATTTGTTCAAGGCCGTGTTACCGGGAAGTAGGCAGCTAAGATTCCCCTAGATTGCCTAATATGATTATCTTCTCCACTCTTCTTAAACTCTGCTGCGTGTCAAGGACACAGAGAAACAAGTACAGGAAATTGATGGTCACTGGGTGAGAACTACTTTCAGCTCCAGAATGGCAGATTGTTGTTGTGTTGTGTACCTTCAAGTTGGAACTGACTCACAGCTCACCATCCAGTGGATTTTCAGAGGCAGGAAATTACATGAGAGGAGATTGCTTATCCTTCTCTAGAGGATCAGCTGGTGGATTCGAACTGTCTGCCTTTGGGTTGGCAGCACAGTCTGTCTCATTTACTACTGTCCCCAGTGCCCATGACAGCGCTTGGTACACAGGGAGTACCCAAAAAGCATTTGTTGAGTCCATGAATGAGCACCCACAGTGTGCCCTGCTCTGTGAAAGTGCATTGCTTGGGGTCAGTGGATGAATGTTAGGAGCCCTGCCCCCTTCCTTTAGGAGGCTTGGTGTCTGCCTGGAGAGAACACAGGAAAAGGTGTACAATATTGGAGTTGAACAACACAGGCGTGTCATGTTGAAGGCGCCTGGTGATTCATTGCCTCAGGACTAGGTCAGACAATAAGTGGCTCTGAGTTGGAGGAAGAAGAGGTCACTGTGGGCTTGCAGCCTGGGAAGGCTTCATGGGGGACTGTAGCCTGCCTTCAATGGGTAGGTGTGGCCGACAACAGAAATTTCAGGTGCAAGTGGAGAGGTGGCGAAAAGAGACAGCATGAGCTTCCCTCTTGAAAGTAAGTAGAGAGGCTGGCCTTGATTTCCTTGGCGAGAACCAGAGTCAAGATTAGGACAAGAGCTGGCAAGTCTGGTTGGGATCTACAAATGCAGTGCCTCCAAGCTGAGGAGATGGGATGGAAGAAGTTGTTGCTGTGGTGATGGGAGGGTGTTGCTGGTGATTGGCTAGAACACTGAACGGCTCTAGTTAGGATGATTCAGATGGACTAGGAGAGTAAGAGGTGAGATGAGACTGAACCTGATTAGAGAAGGGAGGGAAGGGCCAGATGTGTGTAGGAACAGAAGTCATATAGGAACCAGATGTTAATCAAGAGACCAGAGGGTATGTGAGGAGGGGTGCAGGGAGTGGGCAGGCAAAGAAAGACTGGTGGTGTCATTGGCAGCTGTCCCAGTTAGACCTGATGGGCTCTTAGTTGCTAAGGACATGCCAGGGCAGCTCCTAGGGCCAGTTCCAGGGCCAGTCACAGTCCTATCCACTGTCTTGATCTGTTTCCTTTCCGTGCCTTCCCTCCCCTCAGAAGTAGAGGAGGGAGTGGGGAAGGTACCTTGGGAACTGTTTGAGCACACTGCACACTCTTGGGGGTGTGTGTTTGCGGTTGTGCAGTCAGGAAGAACCAATAGCTATTGCTCAGCTTTCACCAGCTTTACAACCCTTGCTTGGTAACCAGTCCATGTTGGCCTTTTATGGGAATGGAAAACACTGGGCATTGTGATTAGTTGTTGTCAGGGATTTGAGGCTTCATACACCACCAGCTACACACATATACTAACTTGCTGTCTCTGAAGGGAAAGAAATGAGCCATCCTCTCCTTTCCCTCCAGCCAACTGGAGAGGACCTGGTGTGGGCAATAATGATCCTGGAGTCAGTGTGGGCAGTAATAATCCTGGGGTCTGGAGAATGGAAGGGAGCATTTATGTGTCTGTCCTACCATTTGCTCCCACTGAGGGGGCTCCAGGCCTCACTCTCTCACTTGCTCTTTTCCTATCTCAGTATCATGGTAATTACCATGGGTGACTAAGGCGGGATGCTGGTGAGAAGGAGGTGTTGGGCAAAGCACCCAGAGAACAGAGAAGGAGGGAGGGAGCTGGGACTGAGGGAACTTCAGGTGGGTGAGGGCGTTCCCTGGGCAGGAGCCACTCAGGGCCTGTTCCGGGCCTCTTACCAGCTCCTCCAGCTGGGGCAGACACAACTGCTACACCTGGGTGTGGGTAAGACGCAGGGTTCTGGGGTGCGGACTGGGACTGAGCTCTCTGTGGAAGACTAGTTTCCAGGTGGGAGAGTGGGGGGCGGCTGTGGGAGTCCTCAGGGCTGGGTTCCTTCTCTGGCTGACAGCTTCCATCTGGCTTCTTTCCTCTTGCAGCGCTCCTGACTCTGAAGCCTACCAGGATGGGGCCCCCGAGGCCCAGCCCAGGGCCTGGGGGGCAACGATGGCTGCTGCCCCCCATGCTGCTGGCACTGCTGCTCTTGCTGGTTCCAACCCCAGGCCATGCCACTCGGGTCGTGTATAAGGTGCCGGAGGAACAGCCACCCAACACCCTCATTGGGAGCCTCGCAGCTGACTACGGTTTTCCAGATGTGGGTCACCTGTATAAATTAGAAGTAGGCGCCCCATACCTGCGAGTGGATGGCAAGACAGGTGACATCTTCACCACTGAGACCTCTATCGACCGAGAGGGGCTCCGAGAGTGCCAGAACCAGCTCCCTGGTGAGCCCTGCATCTTGGAGTTTGAGGTGTCCATCACGGACTTAGTGCAGAACGGCAGCCCCAGGCTGCTTGAAGGCCAGATCGAGGTGCAGGACATCAATGACAATACACCCAACTTCGCCTCGCCTGTCATCACACTGGCCATCCCAGAGAACACCAACATCGGCTCTCTCTTCCCCATTCCCTTGGCCACGGACCGGGATGCCGGCCCCAATGGGGTGGCATCCTATGAGCTTCAGGCTGGGCCTGAGGCCCAGGAGCTGTTTGGGCTGCAGGTAGCAGAGGACCAGGAGGAGAAGCAGCCACAGCTCATTGTGATGGGCAACCTGGATCGGGAGCGTTGGGACTCCTATGACCTCACCATTAAAGTGCAGGATGGTGGCAGTCCCCCGCGAGCCAGCAGTGCCCTGCTGCGTGTCACAGTGCTTGACACCAATGACAACGCCCCCAAGTTCGAGCGTCCTTCCTATGAGGCTGAGCTGTCTGAGAATAGCCCCATAGGCCATTCGGTCATCCAGGTGAGAGGCCCATCATCCAGCTCTCATGGTGGCCCATCTTTAGAAAATAGAGTAAGAGGTCTCTTTTCCTAGCCTCACCAGGCAAGATTTTGCAAAACCCCCATTCCCAAGCACTCAGTCCCTAGCAGGTAGTATTATTTCCCTCTGTCAAGCTTGTTTTTGTTTTATCAAGCTAAGTTAACTTGGTTGGCAATGGCATAGCATGTCAACAGCAACCTCCCCTCCTAAGGCAGGCTTAATTTGGAAAAACCTCTGAGAAAGAGCTCTGGTTGTGTAGTCCATATAGCATCTTACACTGTTAACCAGATAACTGCCTCTCTGTCAATTCGAAACCACCAGTCGCCACAAGGAGGAAAGATAGGCAGTCTCTTTATCTCCTGATAAAGATTTACAGCCTTGGATATCTAACCAATGGAGGGTAACTAGTTACAAAGCAGAATGACTTGTTGAAGTGAAACCCCTTCCCAGGGCAAATGAGCTTTCTCCTGTAGCCAAGTGAGTTGGAGCCAGGCAATCACCTTTATCCAAATAGAATCTTCAGAGATGAAAATATCTTCTCAACTAGGGGGAGTTTTCCTTTAGCCAGATGATGATATTTTTCCTTAAAGTGGCAGTCAGGCTTCATTTTATCACTCTCTGACAAAGTCACGAGACCATTTTAGCCAGGAGTTCTAGAAAACTATTTTCAGATATCTCCTCCCTAAGCCCTAGAGCGCTCATGAGTATGAGATGTTTGGTGCAATGTGGGGGCCAGTTACCTCTCGGTAGAAGTTCTCAGCACCCCTCTATGGGAACTGCCCCAGGGGTTGGGCAGCTTGGTGGGGATGGGGCCTGGGAGGGAGCAAAGAAAGCGTCCCTGCAGACAGGTGGGTGGGTGTATCTCCCGCTGTCATCTGACACTGGCCTCCTGCCAGCCCCTGCTCCTTCTCCTTCCCCATGGGCTCAAGCTGCCTCTGTCTTTGATGTGCAGGAGCAGAGGAGGGCTCAGCCTATCCTGGACACCGTTACCTGTCTTGGGAAACTATGTATCTTGGATGCTAAAGCTGATAGAGGGTATGGGTAGGACTTTCAGGCTCCTTTTAAGAGGCTGGGGCCTGGGACCTGGAGAAAAGACCAGGGAAGACAAGGGCAACAATTGCCTAGGTTCCAGGTACTATTCTGAACACATTTGTTGTATTATGTCATGTCGTCTACATGATTCAGTTAAGTTATATCCCATTCTAACAAACGGGAAACTGAGCCCATGACAATTAAGAAATTTGCCTGTTATCACAGAGCTGAGCTGATGAGTCCAAATCCTACCATAGCTATCTCCACTTGCCTGTTCTTAGAATGTATGTGCTCTATGAACTTTGAGAAACAATGATAGTTATAGAAAGGCTTCAGGTCTTTTGTTCATAGGGTCGCTATGAGTCGTGCTCGACTCTACAGCAATCAACAAGAACAACAACCAGCTACATGATCTTGATGTGAAGTGAAGTGAAACAGGGGATTAGGGCCTAGATGAGGCTGAAGACTGATACGACCTGAAGGACAGGATCCGAGAGAGCAGAGGCACCGACAGAATTGAGCCAGGATGGGATTAAACAGATAGAAACTAAGAGTCATAGACAGAGACAAAAGAAGGTAGAGCGGCAAATGAGGCAGGTAGTGTGAATGACAAAACTGGAAAAATAGACAGTGGTAGAGATGGGGAAGAGAGGAAAAGTCCTCAGGGTTTGACACAGGTGTAAGCAGAGAGAAGGGTAGGTGGGGAACAGCCCAGAGATCTCTGTTGTAGAAAAGATCTTCCCAAGGGAAAGGAGAGAGGACTTAAGGACCTTCTAAGTGCCCAACTGTATGTTTTTACCAATTTTCAGAGACAGATTAGGAGGGTGGATGAACTCTAAATCTTACCAGCTATCATTGAGTCTGTTCTGTAGGATTTTCAAAGGCTGGTTTGGTTGGTTTTTGTATGTGGTGTGTTTTTTGGATTGGTTTTTGGTTTTTTGGTGGGTTGTTTTTTGTCTGTGTTTTGTTTTTTTAGTAGATTGCCAGGCCTTTCTTCAGAGGTGCCCGTGAGTAGTGTTAACTGGAAGCACCACCCAGGGACGTCAGTGCTCTGTGGGAGAAAGATACAACAAACTGCTTCCATAATGTCAGCCTCGGATACCACCCTATTGGCAACTCTGCTCTATCCTAGAGTTTCACTGTGAATCAGAATCAACTCAACAGCATTGAGATTTTTGGTTTTCCTTGTACCAGGCATGGTAGGGCATTTTTACATATATTAGCCATTTACTCATCACCACAAACCTGCATAGTGCATAATGCTATTGTCCTCTGTACAAATAACATACTGCTATTTGTAGACCGAAGTTTGGGAAGGTTAACTAGCTGACTCAGGGTCATGTACTTAGTTAAGAAATGATAGAGTTGGGACATGAACACAAGACTCTTGTTTTGCTGCTCAAAGACTGTCAAATTTTACCTGCCCATCTTCCCTCCAGTGCCACAGTTGTTGCATTCTGTCTCTCTGTGCCCTTAACTCTAGCCTTCATGTTTCCATCTGACCCCTGTATCTCATGGTCATTCCCACCTGGCTTCTATTGCCACATTACCACCCATGTTTGTGTATACAGTTGGGCCTAGTGCGCGTCGGCATTGGCGTGGGAGGGCGTGCCCACTGCAAAGGGACAGACAGTTCATTGTTTGATGCTGAGAGCCCAGCCCGCTGCCAGCCGGCTCTGTGGCCTGCACCAGCCCCTCCCTCCTGGCCGCAGGCTTGGGCCGGATTCCTCATGTTGGTGCCTGTTGGTGCCTCGCCAAGCCAGTACCAGGCGGGAGGGGAAGGAGCTGCTGAAACAGGTTTCCCCGGTTTGACAGAGTTGTGGATGGGGCCTCTGCCTGGCAGGTGGACTCCCTTTGACCCACATCTCTACCTGGCTACTGTCAGAAGAAATGCCCCTCACTTGTGGCCTCGAGGTGAACATGGTTCTCCACTCGTATGTACACACATACGCATGAACTTTCTTATACAGCTACACATACACATGTGTTCTTGTGTGTACACATACTTGCATACATATACAAACACACCATCACGCTGCTCACACCTTTCCATTTCTTTAGTAGGATTGAAGACCTGTTTAATGGGATGGAAGGGCTTCCCTAGTGACTAATTTTGTGTGGTTATATCTTTGTGTCAGGATTTGGGGGAGCAGTTTTAGGAATGACAGCTAGATTTTAAGTTAGTCCTGTCCCATTTGCTATAATCACCTGTAGTACTGTTGAGGATTCACAGGCTGCATATGAATTCTTCAGAAGATAGATGTGTAATATCTGTCAGAGTGTTAGGATTGAGAAAAGATTGCCCTTTTTATTATTATTCTACTTTTATTAAAAGTACCATATTCTCAGCAAGAGCTCTGGTGGCCTAGTGGTAAGAATCTGCACTGCAGTCCCAAAGACACACAGCTCAAATCTGCCAGCTACTCCGTGGGAGAAGGATGGGTGGTCTTCTCTCCTGCGATTAACTGCCTCTGAAAATCCACTAGAGGGTTAGCTATGGGTTGGTTCCGACTCGATGGTACATAACAACATTCTCAATTAGGTATATCTCCTATGCTCATTAGGAAGCTCTGGAGGCTTAGTGGTAAAGAGTTGCACTGCTAAGCCTAAGGCATGTGGTTTGAATCTACTAGCTGCTCAATGGAGAAATGATGGACAGTTTCCTCCCACACAGTTTATTGCCTCTGAAAACCCACTGGAGGATTAACTTTGAGTCTGTTCTGACTTGATGGTACCATATAGCAACATGTTCATTGGAAACAGCAGTACATCGTACCATGGACTAAGCCATCCCTGTTTTCTTTGTATTTTTTCCTTGCCCTGTAGGTGAAGGCCAATGACTCGGACCAAGGTGCCAATGCAGAGATCGACTACACATTCCACCAGGCACCTGAAGTCGTGAGGCGCCTTCTGCGACTGGATAGGAACACCGGACTAATTACTGTGCAGGGTCCCGTGGACCGCGAGGACCTAAGCACCCTGCGCTTCTCAGTCCTTGCCAAGGACCGGGGTGCCAACCCCAAGAGTGCCCGTGCCCAAGTGGTTGTTACTGTGAAGGACATGAACGACAACGCGCCCACCATTGAGATCCGGGGCATAGGGCTGGTAACGCATCAGGACGGGATGGCTAACATCTCAGAAGACGTGGCAGAAGAGACTGCGGTGGCCCTGGTGCAAGTGTCTGACCGAGACGAGGGAGAAAATGCAGCTGTCACCTGTGTGGTGGCAGGTGATGTGCCCTTCCAGCTGCGCCAGGCTAGTGAGACGGGCAGTGACAGCAAGAAGAAGTACTTCCTGCAGACCACCACCCCACTCGATTATGAAAAGGTCAAAGACTACACCATAGAAATTGTGGCTGTGGACTCCGGCAACCCCCCACTCTCCAGCACTAATTCTTTGAAGGTGCAAGTGGTAGATGTCAATGACAATGCGCCTGTCTTCACCCAGAGCATCACTGAGGTGGCCTTCCCGGAAAATAACAAGCCTGGCGAGATAGTCACTGAGGTCACTGCCAGTGATGCTGACTCTGGCTCCAATGCTGAGCTGGTCTACTCTCTGGAGCCTGAGCCGGCTGCCAAGGGCCTCTTCACCATCTCCCCTGAAACTGGAGAGATCCGGGTGAAGACATCTCTCGATCGGGAACAGCGGGACAGCTATGAGTTGAAGGTGGTAGCGGCTGACCGGGGCAGCCCTAGCTTGCAGGGCACAGCCACTGTCCTTGTCAATGTGCTGGATTGCAATGACAATGACCCCAAATTTATGCTAAGTGGTTACAACTTCTCAGTGATGGAGAACATGCCGGCACTGAGTCCAGTAGGCATGGTGACTGTCATTGATGGGGACAAAGGAGAAAATGCTCGGGTGCAGCTCTCTGTGGAGCAAGACAATGGCGACTTTGTTATCCAGAACGGCACAGGCACCATCCTCTCCAGTCTGAGCTTCGATCGCGAACAGCAGAGCACCTACACTTTCCAGCTGAAGGCAGTGGATGGGGGCGTCCCACCTCGCTCTGCTTATGTTGGTGTCACCATCAATGTGCTGGATGAGAATGACAATGCGCCCTTTATCACAGCCCCTTCCAACACCTCCCACCGGCTGCTGACTCCCCAGACACATCTTGGGGAAACAGTCAGCCAGGTGACAGCCGAGGACATTGACTCTGGTGTCAATGCTGAGCTGACCTACAGCATTGCTGGTGGTAACCCTTACGGCCTCTTCCAGATTGGGCCACGTTCAGGTGCCATCACCCTGGAGAAGGAGATTGAGCGGCGTCACCATGGGCTGCACCGCCTGGTGGTGAAAGTCAGTGACCGTGGCAAGCCCCCACGCTACGGCACTGCCCTGGTCCACCTTTATGTCAATGAGACCCTGGCCAACCGCACATTATTGGAGACTCTGCTGGGCCACAGCCTAGACACTCCCCTGGATATCGACATTGCTGGGGATCCGGAGTACGAACGCTCCAAGCAGCGAGGCAACATCCTCTTTGGGGTGGTGGCTGGTGTTGTGGCTGTGGCCTTGCTCATTGCCCTCGCAGTGCTTGTGCGTTACTGCCGACAGCGGGAGGCCAAGAGTGGCTACCAGGCTGGTAAGAAGGAGACCAAGGACCTGTATGCCCCCAAACCCAGTGGCAAAGCCTCCAAAGGCAACAAAAGCAAAGGCAAGAAGAGCAAATCTCCAAAGCCCGTCAAGCCGGTGGAGGATGAGGAGGAGTCCGGGCTGCAGAAATCCCTCAAGTTCAACCTGATGAGTGATGCCCCCGGGGACAGCCCCCGCATCCACCTGCCCCTCAACTACCCACCAGGCAGCCCGGACCTGGGCCGCCACTACCGCTCCAACTCCCCACTGCCCTCCATCCAGCTGCAGCCCCAGTCGCCCTCAGCCTCCAAGAAGCACCAGGTGGTGCAGGACCTGCCACCTGCCAACACATTTGTGGGCACCGGGGACACCACGTCCACGGGCTCCGAACAGTACTCCGACTACAGCTACCGCACCAATCCCCCTAAATACCCCAGCAAGCAGGTAGGCCAACCCTTGCGGCTCAGCACACCCCGACCCCCACCCCACCCCTACCATGGGGCCATCTGGACTGAGGTGTGGGAGTGAAGGGGCAGCTGTGTTGTGCCTTCTGTGTTCAGGCGCCCATGTAGGAGGAAGACCATAGTTCTGACCCTCTGGCCTTACCCAGGCACAGAGGATCAGATTGAGTAAAACCTGAGGGAGGGTGTGCTCTGGGTTCCCACCCTGCTCCACATTCTCTCCCAATCTCTGACCCATTGGACAAAGGCCTGTGACGTGTCAGACCCTGGGACCTTGACTAGCTGCTGAGTCTTAGAGTGAGGGCTGATAGGCAGGTGAGCACAAGGGGGTAGAAGTAGAAGTGGGAGGGAAACAGGAGAAAAGTCTAATCTGGGTCTCTATTTGAGACTGACCATAGGTGCTTCTTAAGAGGAAAAACAAGGTCCTGGTAGGGAGCTGGGTGGGGAGTTTGTCAGGGAGCAAGAAGCTCCCCATCTGTGCCTTTTCTGTGTATTGTGTATTATTAACCTCTTCCCCAACTCCAGGTTCCTGGGGCTGGGCTCCAGCCCCTAAACTTTTCTCTGACAATAAAGTTCTCTATTTTTTGAGTTTTTGTTTCTTATTTTCCTGGAACTGAGGGATGGAGTGAGAGAGACTGGAAACAGCCCTTTGTCTTACCTCAGCTTTCCCATCACTTCTTGTCCCTTCCCTCCCACATCCTAGATCTGTCCACTCCACCTCAACCTTAACTTCCCATCTCCTCATCCACCCCCATGACCACATCTGAGGAAAGTGCCCTCTGACTAAACTTCAAATGAAAGTGTCTGACCCCTGTCCCTGTGCCCCACAGCAAGAGACTCTGCCTAAGAATGAAGAGCAGGTGAGGAGGCTGTGCCCAAGCCCTGTCCTTTCTCTGCATTCTGAGACTTGATGTCTCCAACCTGCCTAATTGAGCTGCCCCTGACAGACCTCAAACCAGAGCTCCTGGTGAGGGTGGAGTTCAGCCTGCCTGCCTCAGGAGAAGATAGAGAACCTCCCGATTATACCAATTACCTTCCCTTGGGGCAAGATCTTCCCCTAAGTCCCTTTCCCACTCAACACCCAACAATTAGCTGGCCCTGCCCTGTCTCCCCACCATGATCACCAGCCTGGCTACCTGGATAGATTGGTCCAGGGAAAAGGGTGAGGGTTCTCAGATTCTATGAATGGACCTGTTCGTCATCTCTGACTCTTAGGATGCTCCTTGCCTACTGGGGCTAAGGGACCCCAGTTCTTCATGCTCCTTCTATTGCTACCTCCCACCCTTCCTTTAGCTCCTTATTCTGACCACCCTAAGCTGCTGACTCTCTCTCTCTCTCCATCTCTCACTTCTGCTTTCCTGGTCTGCCCTATCTCTGGCTATGTCAGGGAGGAGGTATTGGGGCTAAAGCCTGGGTGAGAGGCCTCAGGTCCTGGAGGAGTCTCTGAGGCCAGAGGCAACCCATCTCCATGGTGACTGAAGAGGCTTGAGACACTCCCAGGAGGTCCAAGGCGCCAGCTTCCTCCTCCGATTATATCCACAAATTCCCTAATGCCTTGGGGTACCCCCAAATAAGAATTTCTAGGGGCTTAGGAGGAGCAGGTGTGGGGAAGTGAGGGCTAGTAATATCTCATTTCTTCTGGACATCTCATGGGAGACCTCCAGCAACTCCTGGCCTCCTATTCTTGCTTTCTCATCTGAGCCTTATCACCTCTGCCTCCTCCTCCTCTTACCTACTCTGTACTGTAGTTCCTTGATCATTTTCTTTCCCAGAGTCTAAGGGATTTTTTCCCCCCTTACCCAAATGAGTCTAACCCATCAACAGAGCCACATTGAGTATCTTATTCAGTGTTTGGGACCCATCCAGTCCACAACACCTGTTGTCATCATCAAAACACACAGGCCATGTTCCTACTGTGCTCAGCATGCTACTAGACCTTGAAGGAAAAAATAATTCTACTTTTCACAAAAAGTAGAAGTGAAAAGATGAGCCAGCTGAGTATCTAAGTGTCAAGTGAAAAGAGTGCCATTGTAAAGGTTTTCTCAAATTGTTCCCTGAGACTACTACAGCTCCTCACTTTTATTATTTGAGTCATTACTAGTTGCAAGGTACCAGCTCAGCACTTTAGCTGAAGCAATTCATTAACTCATAACTTTTTGTTGGTCATTACAATACTCATTTTACAGAAGTGAAAACTTGGACCAGAATTCAAGCACAGCATCAGGAAATCTGGGTTCCAGAGTCTGCTATTATCCAATATGCTATATAAAAAAGAGTTCCATGATTACATTAGTTTTGGCAGGAGGCTAGCCCTCTTGGGAAAGGCACCATCACTGCTTACTAAAGCCTCTGTAGAGTTCTGAAAAAAAAAAAAGAAAACCCAATGAAGAACCTATTAAACATTGTATAATCTAGAGTTTTCCAAATGACCCCTTCTTTGCAGGGCACAGTGTGAGAACCACAGGTCATGAGGTGACACTCTGGGAGGAGGATGTGAAACTTAAGCCATTCCCTCAGTAAAGTGGGAGGGTATTTCTGTGAGTGAAAGGGCTGAGGCCGGAGTGGATTTGTCCACATTGGAGGTTGGAGGCAGAGAAAGGGCTGCAGGAGTATGTTCTGGCTGGAGTGAAGAGTGTAGTAGAGCTGAAGTCAGGAAAGAACTGGATCTAGGTTGTAGAGGGCATGGATGCCTTGCCAAAAGAAAGTAAGAGCTCTTAAAAGCTCTTGATTTTTTTTTTTTTTTTGTGATCTGAGTTTTAAGAGAGTTCGCAAAGGTGATGAATTCAGAGGATCTAGGGATGATGGTCTAGGTTTGAGCCTTTTAAGTTTTGTATGAAGGTGGTAACAAGAATGGTGAGTGGAGGGATTTGGCTGAACTTGGGTCAAGAATGGGCAATGAGGGGAAAACTACTACGATTCTCAGAGATAGTGATGAGCTCATTGACCATGCAGAAACTGATGAACAAAAAAGAATTTGGAACTTGAAGGGTCAGTGAAGACTTGGAAGTTATTTAGGAAATGTATAGAATTTAGAATTTCAGAACTAGAGTTGTGATTTTAGAGCTGAGCTTTTAAGATTTGATGTAGAATTATAGGCAATGTCTAGCATCAAGTGTAGCCTAATATTCCATTTAACAGAAAAGACTTAGAAAAAAAAGACTGAATGATTTGCCTGAGGTGGCAGGACTGGAGCTGGAGCCCTTAATGGCCAAGTGTGCGCTCTGCAGGAGGGCTGGGGCCTGCTGGGGCCTTGAAAGAAGAAAAAGAAGCATCACTACCCAGAGTCTCCTGTGCCTTCCAGGTCCATCCAGGAGCCTGTTCACTCCTCAGTGAGAATACGCCCCTTTCTAATGGTCAGGTCCATATTTGAGATCTTACTTGTTATCACCTGGGCTCTAAAGTGTTTTTGTTTCTTACATGGACCCAAGCTGACTTACCTACTCCTGAATACGGGAAGGAAGCTATGGTAGTGAAGCAGTTCCAGACTGCCTGCCTGCCAGTTCAAATATTTCCTATCCTGACACCCTCCCAACTTAGTTGCCTTGAGTGAGGTTGAAGATTGTTATGGGGGTATCAGAATGGTGTTTCTGCAAACCTAGGCACCACCTCTCCAGGCCATCATCATCCTTTGTATTTGTTAGGTTCCTGCACCTGTACCTAATGCCTTGGAGAGGACTAGCAAGTTGTCTCTGGGAAGGTTGTCACAGACAGATCCTCACAAGGTGAACAGTAACAGGTTTATTCGTGAAAGAAGAAAAACATACAACCAAACAAGCAGAGTACACTGTCTAAGTCAGAAGTGAGTCCCCTCTCGTGAGTGAGCAGGAACTTGGTTCTAGGAGCCTGAGGTCTTCTTCCTAACCTTAACTTTGCCAGTTTTTCCAATTAGTGACTTTGTCTGATTGGTGGTGAGAGGAAGCTAGCTCTCTCTTCCATGCTGCTCTCAGATGTTTTTCAAGGTCGTGGCAGTCGCTATAGGACCCCTAGTTCCAAGCACAGAACTATGGAGTGGGGCAGGGGAGCCCACCCATGGCTGCAGCCGTGGTTGCTGGCCCTCACAGTGTTGCTCTGCCCTCTGCTGAGGTTTACAAAGTAAAGACAAAGCCCTGCCAAAGCCATGGAGGGCTGGAGGAGCCTGGAGACTCATCAACAGGGCCCTGGGCCTATGCTGCTCCCACCCCTGGCCTCCAGGGCCCCTGGGTCTGTGCCCTCCACAACTTCTAATTTCAGGTTGGAGGAAAACCAATGGCATTCCCAGGTGTGTGTTTGGGTGGCTGACTGATTGTGCCAAGTGCCAAGCTAAGGTTGCCAGGTTCCTGGGATGATTGTTAACCCATGGCAGACAGACGGGGCTGCTGGCTGGGAGTACCACTACGGCACCTCCAGCCTGGGTCCAAGCTTCCTAGCCATCCTCTCATTGAGTGTCTCTTCCCAGGAGCTCCTTCCTATTTCCTAGGAGTCTCCATTGGAGGCCAACCTTTCTGCTCCCTGGTGGATGGAGCCCCTCCCTTCCCCTCATTCCCAAGCTCCTCTCCGTGCCCCACCCTCCAAGTTGATACTCTTGTTTCCTGATCTGGAAGACTGGGGAGTTTCCTTTGTTCTACTGCCCCACCCCAGGTGTCCTGGTTTGTTAACTGGCTCCCCCTCCCCCTAGCCTTCCCTCCCACCTTTTTCTCCTCCAGAGGACTCTCTGGAGGGAAATGAAGATAAGACTGAGTGGGAGGGGACTCTGCCTGCCAGCTACCAACCAGGAATGGGAAGGAGTTTGGAGGCCAGTTTGGAGGGGGACAACGGGAGGTTACATAGCAATGGAGCAGGTGAGAAGAGGGCTGGAGTTTGGCAATGCTTTTCAGAAATTAGGGGGCTGTTCTGGTGGTGTTGAGCTGTTTGAATGTGCCTACTGCTTTGGGAGTAGCTGTTCTAGGCATTGAAGTTTACGCTGGTGTTTGGAGTCTGTACTAGAACTGAGGGAGTTGGCTGGTAGCTGCTCTTCTGGTGCTGGGTTCTACACTGTGCTAATGGTGTTCTGGAATTGAAGGAGGCCACGCTGATGTTGGGAAAACTTCACTAGAACTAGAATTACTTTGCTAGTACAAGCAGATTATACTGAATTAGGGTGACTGTGATGGCCTAAGGGCTCTGAAAATGTTGGGGCTTTTGGTGTGTGGACTTAGCTTTATTGAGAGCACAGGGGCTGTGCTTTCTGGGGGCCTGTGCTGTGCAAGAGGGCTGAGCCACTTCCTGGTTGCTGCTGATACCTGGGGGCTGGAAGCTGAGGTTGTAGGCCCTGCTGGAGCTGGGGCCTGCTGTGGTGGTGGGTCCATGAGGCAGGCTGGCCGGCCAGCAGTGACAGACATTCTCTCTACAGTTACCTCACCGTCGTGTCACCTTCTCGGCCACCAGCCAGGCCCAGGAGTTGCAGGACCCATCTCAGCACAGTTACTACGACAGTGGCCTGGAGGAGTCTGAGACGCCATCCAGCAAGTCATCCTCAGGGCCCCGGCTTGGTCCCCTGGCCCTGCCTGAGGATCACTACGAGCGCACCACCCCTGACGGCAGCATAGGCGAGATGGAGCACCCAGAGAACGGTGAGGATGCCCGCACGGTGGAAATGAGCAGGAGCCCGCGAATGGTGAAGTGGGCTTAGAAACATCCTCCTTTCATTGTGCTTCATTGTGGGTTCACTAGCAATCCTTTGCTGAGTAGCTCCCAGCCTCACAACCACTCCGTGATCTGAGAATCTTCTTGTTCCCACATTACAGTGGAGAGAAAGGAGTCTCAGAGATATAAAGTGTTTTGCCCAAAGTCATAGGACTAGAAAGTGCCTGAACGGGGAGGCCTTCAAACCCAAGTTTCTTAACTGCAAAGCCCTTATGTTCAACACTACGTTGTACCACCTCCACAGGAACAGAGACCTTGAGGATAGTGGGGGAGATATTAGGGGGGCCGAAGGGTTCTGGTAATAAATAGTACAGAGACTTTGGGAAGGGAGATGGAGGGGGGTTCAGAGGAGCCCTGGATGCTCTGAAGAGTTCAGACACTGGTGTGGTGATTCCCCACTGGAGAGAATTTGGCTGAGAAAGCGGAGCCTGGGAGGACTGGGGAGGGCCTTACTTGGAAGGGTTTGGGGGCGATGGGGAGGTCAGCATGGAATGGATGCTGGGATGTGCTATCAGATTGTGTGTGCATGTGCATGTGTGTGCCTGTGTGTGTCTGATTGTGTGAACACCCGCGAGGCAGCCTGGGAGGAGGGGACAGGATAAGCCCTTTTGGATGGAAAGACTACCTTAGAACTGCCCTTTTGTCTTGCCACCTCCTTCAAAGTCTTCCTCCTCAAAAAAAAAAAAAAGATGAAAAGCACCACTCCCACCTCTTAAGCACAGGGCCCAAATCTAAGCTCCTGGGCCCTAGGTCTCAGAGCACCCTCCGCCCTCAACCCTGCCCCTCCACGCGTGATCTCATGCCCATCTCGTCCTTTTTGTGCCCGCGCAGAGCTGGCTGGCCGGAGCAGGCCCTGAGGCGGAGTGCCAGGTATGTGGGAGCTGTTCTGGGGTCTGGGGTCTGTGGGACTCACCCAGCACCCTGCCTCGCCTACCCAGTGCCCGTGCTCTGCTCCGTGCCATGCTGGGTGCCCTCACTCCTAGAGAGCCCTGAGCTAGAGGGTTTTGGCACTTTGAATATTAACGAGACTACTGTCCCCTTCTCATCTTTACCTTGTGCTGACTGGAGGCCAAGCTAGGGTGGGTGGTACCAGGGGACCCCTGCCTCTTGCAGTGTTACCATCACTCATGTCCCTCAGAGGGGGTCATAGCCTGGTGCCGTCCCTGAATGAGGGCGGGACAAAGGGGAGCCGTGACAGGAAGTGCTCATGCCCAGCTGTTCCCATGGAGACTCTGCTGCCCAGCAACCACACCGGCTACTGCTGATGTCAGGCGGCCAACTCCTGTTCCCGTGGGTGTTCTGGGCTGGGAGCCGGGGCAAGGCCAGGGGTGGTGGTGGAGGTGTAGGGGTTGGAATGAGGTGGGGAGGGGCTGCATGAGTGTGTTTATGGGTGTGTGATTGTATGTGAGCACCCAACAAAGGCAGGATCGTCCCCTCCCTGGCTGTAAAGCAAGGCCTCCCTGCGCTGGATGGGGTAGGATTCTAGGACATCGTGAAGCCTGGGGTAGTGCCTACCTTTGTCTGTGGACAGAAATGTCCAGGCAGGTTTGTGTGTTTTTGCTAATCTGTGAAAAGAGAGAGAGAAAGTGGGATTGTACTCTTAGATGAGGATGGGAGCTTCCTCAGTCCTAACTTGAGTGTAGATTTGCGTGTTTAATCCTGTCTGGAGGCAGGTGACAGTGTGCAGATGCCTGTGCGTTTGTGCACCTTGAGGGTAAATTTGGTGGATGTGTGAGAAGAGATTTCAATGGTGGGTGAAAATGGAAATGTGTCTATTTAAGGATGGAGTGTGTGTGTGTGTGTTGTGTGTATGTGTGTGTGTGAAAGAGAGAGAGAAAGAGAGAGGGAGGGAGAGACAAAGAATAATGGGCTGGGAGGTGAGTTCGAAGGTGTGTGTCCCAGAGCTCAGTGGCCAGGAAGGAGTGTTCTGACAAGGGGTGTAGGTGCCTGCTGGGTGCTGTGGAGCAGAGCTTTGCAAGGCTAACCCACCTGATGACTGTGCTCCCCACCTCTCCTCTGCAGACCTGCGTCCTTTGCCTGATGTTGCCATGACGGGCACATGTACCCGGGAGTGCAGCGAGTTTGGCCACTCTGACACGTGCTGGATGCCTGGCCAGTCATCTCCCAGCCGCCGGACCAAGAACAGCGCCCTCAAACTCTCCACCTTCGTGCCTTACCAGGACCGGGGAGGGCAGGAGCCTGCGGGCGCCGGCAGCCCCAGCCCCCCGGAAGACCGGAACACCAAAACGGCCCCCGTGCGCCTCCTGCCCTCCTACAGTGCCTTCTCCCACAGTAGCCATGATTCCTGCAAGGACTCGGCCACCTTGGAGGAAATCCCCCTGACCCAGACCTCGGACTTCCCACCCGCAGCCACACCGGCATCCGCCCAGACAGCCAAGCGTGAGATCTACCTGTGAGCCCCCTCTGGCCAGTGGCCACCCCTTCCCCAGCCGCTGGCCAGTTCCCAGATGGGTCCATTCCAGGGCCTCTACTCCTGACCCCCTCCAGCGTGGACTTTCTGGCCAGGACTCTACATGGGGGAGTGCTGGCCTCCTGACCATGCTGAACCTCCCCCATGCTGGGTCCAGGTCCCTCGTTTCCAGCCCATGGGAGCTCTTTATTCCTTTTTGGGCTCCCTCCAGCTGAGACCACCTCCTCTACAGTGACTGGGTTCCCTGCCCTCGGCTTCCAGGGAGGGGTGAGCACCCCTTGCTCTTGGCAGGTGGTGGAGTCAAGGGTGGGCAGCACACTTTTAACTCATTATTTCCCACATGGCCGACCGGAGCCGGGATAGGATGCCCCACTCTAGCCCTTAAGTAGGGTTGAACTGGGGTGTCCCTCTCCTTGGGAGCTCCTAGAGGAAACCCTTGACTGTCAGGGGCTCTGTGAAGGGCTTTTGTTACCAAAGGTGGGGTGAGGATGGGGGTGGGAGTGAGGCGGGTCTTGTCTTCCCGTACTGCTCCTGGGCTGGCCCACCTGCCTGCCACGCGCCCATGCCTGGTCCCATCTGGCCCCCTTCCTGCTGGTCATGCAGTGTCTGTATATAAGGACCTTGGAATGATGTCCCCATTTCTGCCTGATTTGCAACTTTTCTTGTTGATGTTGTGTTGTCTTCGGGGACCCCTCTGGGGGGGGGGAACCTGCCCTGTGCCCCCCTCCTCCCTGCCGCAGTGCCCCCACTCCAGGCCTCTATTGTTCCATGTTGTAAATACCCCTGGGGGCCGTGGTGGGATGGGGGTGCAGGCCAGGGAAACTGTGGGGTGGGGGCGGGTGGGGATGGGGAAAACATTCGCCTATCAGCAGAGCTGGGCTTTTATTTAATTTTTTTAAAAAAATACAAATCTCTATTTTTTTGGAACTGTTGCGCTGTGCCCTGGGGGGAATCCCTGCTCAGGCTGGGCCCCCCCCACACGTCCAGATGAGCATCACAGAGGGACCCTGAGGCTGTGCAGGGCAGCTGTACAGGGGTGGGATGACTGTGCCTCTGGCCTGGTTGGGTGAGTTGGGAGCAGGAAGGTTTGTTCAGGGGGAGCTGTTTGCTGCCCCTGGTGTGGGGGGCCTGCCCCCTGCCCCCTCCCTGCCTCCCACCCCCAGCCCCTGCCATGACTGACCCGTCAGCCTGTAAAACCACCATTGCCTTGATCTCAGGGGGTGGGAAGGGCTGCCTCAGGGCACCCCGGGCTCTAGGCCCCCTTCTTCCAGTTGGGCTTCCCTTTGCCAGGGTCAGGGGTCCCATAGGGGAGGGAGTATGGAGCTAGGGGGCAGAGAAGCCCAGTCAGCCATGATGAGGTGGGGTTTCTTTCCTCACCTCAGGGGGCCAGGGTATGAGGGGCGTCCTGCAGAACCCCCATCTCCCACTGTGGCCATCTCAGAGCCTCAGCCCCTCTTTCCCCCTACAAGCCCCCATTGCCTTGGCCCATACCTCTCCAGCTTCCCAGGGGCCCAGGCTGGAGGCTGGAGACTCAGGGTATGGCCCTTGCTTGACTTCGTCTAAGCTTGGGGGTGACCTGAGTGTAGGGGGTGGATACAGGCTGCTGGGTTGTCTGGTGCCTTTGGGAGTAAGCTGTGCTACTGGGGTCTTGACTCCTGTAACCCCAGAAACTCCCCACACCCACCCCAGAAAAGCCAGGGGGCTGAAGAATTACCATTTTCTCTGCCCTTCACTCCTAACTTGGCTTGGGGTAACAGTGCTGGGAAGGAGAGCATTGTTAGGCTGGTGGCCCCAGCAAACACTGCCCTTCTGTGGAGGGCAGGGGAAGAGTGGGCTGGGGTGGCAGTTAGGGCTCCGAACTGGTTCAGGCAGGCTCAGTCATGGTTGACAAAGTGAAATCAAAACAGACCCAAATTTTAAAAGTTGGATGAAGTGGAATGGTAACCAGAAGGGGCAAAATTACAAATCAGAACCCTGCAGTGAGAAAGGTATGGTGAGTCCTTTCAGGACCTGATGTGGGAGGATGTGTTGGAGTATTTCCAGGACTGTAGAGATCAACACATATACAAAGCATGATGAGCGCCATCTTTGAGCCAAGCACCATTCCATCTGACTCTGCTGGTCAGTAGAATTGGATGCTACATAAAGAGCAAGCTGCCATTGTTTCCTAAGAGAAAGACTAAGTGTCTAGCAGGATATCAACCTATAATTTTTCCCATCATGGTTATTGTTCCAGTACGCCCACTTTTGACAAATTCAGGTCCACTCCAGTTTCGCTTCATTGGCCATGACTGAACTGATTCGAAGCCCTGGGTGGCAGCAACCAGGTCTAGGGGTTTGCCAAAGGCTCCTTTCCCTGGGGGAAGCCCAGGAAGTGGGCTAGCGGGCTCGTTAAAAAGACAGCCCCTTCCCCCTGCACAAACGGGGCAGGTGCAATAGTGGTGGAGACAGTAACATAAGGTGCCCGGTTTGTGGGGCAGTGACCTCACGGACTGTCCTGGGTCCCGGAGGTCATGATGCAGGCAGGAAGATTGTATGAGGCTTGTTTGCTTGGTGGAGAGGGTAGTCCAAAATAGGAGGCATTCCTGGGGTCAGTGCACTCCCGGGAAGCCTCTGGTGACCTGGGTATCTGCCCTGGTCTTGGAGACCCCGAGCACTGAGTGGAAGGCAGAGGAACATTTTGCACAATGGAGAAGCCAGAAGGAAGGGGGTGGCCCAGATGGCTGGGAGGGCTGAGAAGCACAGAGGAGGAGCCCTTCCCACAGGCAAAGGCAGAGCTCCAGCCCCCTGGTTGGGGCTGGGGCACTAAGTCTGTCACCACCTGGGCACTTGAGAGGTGAAACCAAAGGTGGGCAGGGGATGGGTGACAGCACTAGGGACTACCCTTATTGGTCCTAGGTCTGTGTAAGCCCTCCCCAATGCCTTGTGTCCCGTACAGTTTTATGTACACATAGGCGACATTTGGCCAGAGGAGACCCCCCTCAAACTCGGCCTGACCCAGTCAGTGTCTTCCTAGAGGGGACCTAATTGGTCCCCACCCCCCCACATCAGGGCATGTCTCTTGGTGAGGGAGGGATGTTTGGGGACATAGTTCCCCACTAGGGTCCCTGAAGCATGTCTCATATCCCAGGGGGAAGGTCTCTGGGGCACCCCTCACCTCTGGGGACCCCTAGGCCCCATCTCTCCCCTTGGGAGTCTCTTGGGTCATGTAATATCCCCTGGGGACCATGGGAGCATGTCTCTCCCCCAACCCAGGCTCTCTCAGGAGCCTATTTCCCTCCCAGGATTCCTGGGAGTACTTAAGGCATGTCAGTCTTGGGCCATCTCTCTTCCCAGGGAAGGGGGTATCTCAGAAGCATGCCTGGGAAGGGATGTTTGTGGTCCTCCTCCCGCCTCTCCTCCGGGTGCCTCTGACCTGCAGCACTTGGGGATGAGGCTGGGCATCTCTGAGCTGTCTTTTCTCCTAGGGGCTCTGGAATACCTCTCTCTCCCGAGGGTGGGGCCTCTGGAGCCATTTCTTCCCTGGGTGGGAGCTATCTATCTCTGGGTGCTGGGAGGGCTTGTGTTGGCCATGAGAAAGTCTCTTAGGGGGTGTCTCCTTGTGGGACTTCTCTGGGAGGGGAGACTGTGTCTCGCCCATGGGGTTCCCGGGCGGGTTATGTCTGCCCATGGGGAGGGGGAGGCTGTGTCTCCTCGGGTTATCTGAGTGGGGAGGGGGGCCGTGTCTCTCTCATGTGTTGGGGGGTGGGGACAGGGAGGGGGGTTTGGGGCCCGTCGGGGGCCCACACTGGGGTCGTGTTTCTCTTGGTTCGTGCCACTTCCCACCGCCTCGCTCCTCCCGGGAAGGGCCCCTGCCCCGCCCCCAGTCCACCCATTCCTGGCGCTGCGAGCACAATCCCGTTGATTTGTAATGATTTCTGTCTTTCTGTCTTTCTCTGACCACCACCACCCAGCCCCCGCCGCGAGCATGCGCAGGCACCACCCCCACCCCCTCCGGTTCGGTTTGTTTCCGGTTTGTTTGCTGAGCTGTCAATGAAGAGACCCGTGTAATTATTCCCGAGCTTTACAATAAAAGTGTGAAAACCGGACCCCAGTACGCTTCTTCCGAGCCCTAGGGCTTGCGTCCTGGAGAGACAGAGAGGGCTAAGCCTGGGCCAAGGCCTTGGAAGGGGTTGGGGGGACGCAGCGGGGAGAGAGGAGGCACCTAGACCCTCACAGATACACATCGGTGATGAAGTGAGTATGAGGACAGACATCTCGTCCGCAGGTCCGACCCGTTCTGGACAGCTCTGACTTCGGGGCCGAGACAGCGCGGGTAGGGTTCCACTGTGCGTCTTTTTCCCGTGGGGTCTATCCCAGAACATGCTAGTGGGGACTATAGAGCTTCTGTCGATCCTGGTCTGTCCATTCCCGCTCCCTCCTCTGAATTGCAGAACCGGATGGGAGAAGGGGCGGGAGGCAGCTATCCGTCTGTCGTTCCCCTCCCACGCTCAGAAACCAAGGTTGGAATTCAATTCAGAAGACCCGAAAAGGTCTCCGCGCTTCCCCCCCTCCCATCTCCTTCTGGGCCGAGCGGTCCAGCTCCCGGTAAACACGAGCTGTCCGGAGAGATCAAGCACAGAGACTCGACCAGGTTCCCGGTCCCGCCTCCCAGGCAGCGCCCCCCTGCGCCCTGCCTCCCGGCGCCGCCCCCTCCCTGGTCACCGCGCAGCGTGTGGGGACCCGGTCGGTCCAGCCGCTGGGATTAGCTGCGCAGGGACTAATCCCGGATGAGCCTCCGTGTAAACCCAGATCGGCCGTGGGTACGGACGGGGGACGTGAGCGTCCGTTCGCCTACGCGAGACCTCTTGGGGCTTGACGCGCACTCCAGGGCTCCTGGATGCTTTTGAAGAGTTAGGTGGTTAGATGGGGGGGGGTGAAGAAAGTATGATAAGGATCTGGTACCCAGAGATAGTGATGGGAAGTAGGGAGAAGAGGACAGAGGGGAAGGACTCCTTGACCACCTCTGAATCTACAAGGGATAAAGTCAGCTCCCCAGTTGTAACTTTGCACCCCCATCAATTGCAAATCCTCCCCCTAGAAACTGGCCGTGAAGGCCACCTTACAGCAGGCACTGAATCAGTTCAAGGAACCCACTTCATACCCGCCCAAGTCTTGGAAAGACAGTGAATGCTTCCTGGTAAGACTCAGACCAGGAAAGATATGAAGGGTCAAGGGAGCTGGGGATATGGAGGTGGCTGCTGGGTATCAGAACCCTGCCCTTGGTTGATTCACTCATTCAACAAGCATTTCCTGAGCCCCTCCCCAGGACAGACCAGAGTAAGGTACCAGAACACCCTAAGAATGACACACGCTTTCTCCGGAAAGCAGACAGGTAAACAGTAACAACAGTCATGTGTTCAGCATGCTGTGAGCTGGAAATTCAGGCCAGAGCCCAACAGAGGCACAAGTCCAGAAGGCTTCCTGGAAGGTGTGGTGCCAGAATTGAGTTTCAAAGGGCAGATGGGGAAGAACCAGTTGAGGAAGAGAGTGAGCTGTGGGAATATTGTGTGCAAAAGCCCAGCAGTGTGGAAGAAGGTGAGATCATCCAGGAAAGAGAGAAAGGCTGGGTTCAAAACTTGGAAGGGTATACCTGCCAGTCAAAGAGAGAGCTTGGGTTCAGAGAAACGGAGAGAGAGATGGAAGCCATGGAAGAATTGTAAGTTTCTAAAAGAAAAAGTCAAATTTACATTTTTTACAAACTGTCTGTCCTCTCTGCCCCAGGTCACCCTAAATTGAGAGTGGAGACACACAAGCAGACAGATAGAAAAAGGTCCAGTTTAGGCTACAAAAAATAGCCCCTAACTCCTCTCATCACACTTGCTGTCAGAGGTCTGGCTGTAGTATTTCCTGGTG